TGTTATAAAGCGTGTATGATTTCATGATATTGTAAGATTATTATTTTCATATGTTGTTTTCATGGATTTCACTGAGGTAAGTGGACAGTAAAGGATTTTATTATTGATAAAAGAATTTGTTATAAATTATGCTCCATTGGTTATTTTGTTTTCTACCCACCTTTACTTTCGTGGCGGTGAGATAGTGTGATGTCTTTACTGGGCTGGTGTAGCTCATTCTTTATTTAACTATTTCATATCAGGAAGACATTGTTGTCGAGCCCGTTCCGCAGGAAGACGGCGAAGGGGACGCCTAAAGACTCCATAGCTATATTTATAGTTCTTATTTCGAGTATCTCTTTTAGTTAGTTTGTTCTTTCATATTTTAAGTACGTTTTAGTTATTGTGTAAGAGATGCTAATCAAAATTTTTATTACGCTTCCGCATTTGACATTTTTAATACATATAATTCTTTTAAATTTCTGGGGCCGTTACAACATCTATCATTGCTTGTACTACAAAAACTAGACTTCAAGATCAATAAAGAAGAATTGTCTAAACCTTGTGATATATGTGCAAAGGCAAAGCAAACAAGAATACCATTTGAAAGTAGCATTAACCAAAGTCAAATAATTTTTTATTTAATTCATGTTGACGTGTGGGAACCTTACAATCAACCATCATCGACTGGTGCATATTACTTCTTAACAATTGTGGAAGATAAAAGCATATGCACATGGACATATCTTATGCAAAGCAAGACACAAGCTGGCTCCATACTAGGGAGGTTCATTAAGATGATCATGAGACAATTTGGTGTGCCAAAATAAGGACAGTTAGAAGTGACAATGGGAATGAATTTCTGGGTGTCACATGTCAGAATATATTTGAAGAGCTTGAGATAATACATCAAATAACTTGTTTCTATACACCACAGCAAACCGGGAGAGCAAAACGAAAACACAGACAACTGCTGCAGATTGCGCGTGCTATAATCTTCCAAGCAGCACTGTCATTAACTTTTTAGGGAGAAGCTGTGTTACATGCTACATACATAATAAATAGATTACCCTCTCAAGTCCTAGAATGGAAGACCCCATATGAAATACTACATGAAGCTCCAAACTATAACCGACTCAAGGTTTTTGGGTGTCTCTGCTATTCAACAAATAATCAACCACATAAAGATAAGTTTGCTCCAAGAGCATTCAAATGCGTCTTTTTAGGTTTTACTGCAAGAAAAAAAGGGGTACAAGCTCTATGATCTTGAAAACAACAAGTATATATTATCTAGAGATGTAGTCTTCCATAAGAATTAATTTTTATATAAATCTCAAAGGGAAACAAAAGTTCCTGAAACGATCCCACAGATCCTGATTACTAAAACAAACACTAGTCAACAAAATGTCTTGAACATACCAGCTCCAGAAAGTGCACCATTTGAAGATCAAACTTCTGAATCTGGAAGACAACAAATAAATAAGTCCTCTAATCCTGGTCATAAATACGGAACAGAAGACGTTAATCCACAATCTCAAAGAATGAGTTACAGAGTAAAAAGAAAGTCTAACTGGTTACAAGACTATATAACCAGTATGAACTGTACTGCCACAACAGGAAATTTGAATATAGCTTCACCACATCTGCCAAAAACCTTTCCCTTTATATCCAAACCCAGTTTGGATGATGAAATTTTAACTTTTTTGGCAAATATCATTGTTTTAGAATAACCAAGGACATACACAGAAGCAAAACAATCAAAGGAATGGGTAGAAGCAATGAGAACAAAGATAACAGCACTAGAAAAGAATCAGACTTGGTCTTTGACAACACTACCTCCTGGAAAATCTGTCATTGGTTGCAGATGGGTTTACAAGCTAAAATTGAAACTTGATGGAACAATAGAAAAGTTTAAGGCAAAATTAGTTGCAAAAGGATATCACTAAATAGAAGTGATAGATTATATTGACGGATTCTCACCAGTAGCCAAAGTGGTAACAGTCAGAATCCTAATTGCGGTTGGAGCAGCAAAACAATGGCCACTACACCAATTGGATGTAACTAATGCATTTCTTTATGGGTATTTGAACGAAGAAGTATATATGGAACCCCCTGAATGATACAAAAAGGCAAAAGAAGGAGAAGTATATAAACTTCAAAGGTCCCTTTACGGTCTAAAACAAGCTTCCAAACAATGGAACTCAGAACTTTCCTATTTTCTGATTAAATATGGATTCCAACAAACAGCCATACCGTAATCACTGCCTCTTTATCTATCAACACTTTATGGCCTTATTAGTTTATGTAGATGATTTAGTTGTTACTGAGAATTCAGATGAAGAGATTACAAAACTAAAAGGAGCATTGGATAACAAGTTTACAATCAAAGATATAGGAGCTATTAAGTACTTCTTAGGGCTGGAAATCACAAGAACAGATGTTGGAATTTATGTCAACCAAAGAAAATACATATTAGACATACTCAAAGAAGTCAGCTTTCTGGGAACAAAATCAAAATTCATTCCATTTTCGAGAGGAGAACAACTTCACTCTAAGGATTCACCATTGCTAAATGACCCTCAGCATTATAGAAGTATTGTGGGCAGATTGTTATATTTGGGGTTCACTCGACCAGATTTGAAATACTCAATTTAGTAGTTAAGTCAACATGTGCAAGCTCCAAGACAAGTTCACTTGAAGGTAGCACACTATGTTCTAAAATACCTAAAACAGGAACCTTCTTTAGGGATATTTTTTCCAAAAAAAATAACTTTAAAATCATAGCCTATTGTGATTCAAATTAGGGGGCATGCCCAGAAACTAGAAAGCCTCTCACTTGATATTGTGTATATCTAAGATCATCACCAATCTCCTAGAAAGCAAAGAAGCAAAATACTGTCAGCAGAAGTTCAGCTGAGGCGGAATACAGGTCAATGGCTATGACAGTATATGAGCTGCAATGGGTTATATATATTCTTCAAGACTTGAGGGTGGATTACTCATTACCAATTGATCTCAAATGTGATAACAAGGCAACAATGCATATAGCTGCAAACCCAGTATTTCATGAAAGAACGAAACATTTAGATATTAACTGTCTCGTAGTTAGGACAAAGATCAAGAAAGGGATGGTTGCACCAACTTATGTCAGCTTAGCTACCCAAGTAGCAGATATATTCACTAAACCTCTCTCATCTCCAACTTTTCAGAATCTATGTTCCAAGTTGGCTTTGGCAGACGTTCACCAAAGTCCAACTTGAAGGAGGAGATGTTATGACAATTAGATAGTTAACTTATGTTCAGATTCTGTTATTCTGTTTTTTATTAAAATAGTTGGTCAGTGAGCATGTTGTTGAATTTGTAAGAGACTTCTGTATAAATAGCATACATATGCAATGTTGTTCAGTCGATCAATTCTTTTGTAACAAAAGAAGTCTTTATCTCTCCTTTCGAATAATAACCAGAAGAAGTTCTTTCATGTTTTTCTTCTCTGTTTACACTTCTGTTTCTTCCAACCTTTATTTAAACATATTCACTATCTTCAATTATATACTCAAAATCGATTGAATATTTTTCCAATTCCAGCAATTTTTCTCATCAAAAATAATATCACAACTTACTACTAACTTATAAAAATGATATCTCTTGGTTTCATTGATATAACCCACAAACATGCATTTGATCCTTTTATCATCAAGCTTGTCTCTTTTTTGTGATGGAACATACACAAATCCTATGTAGCCAAAAACTTTAAAATGAGATACCTTGGGTTTCCATCCATGTCAAGCTTCAAATTGTGTTTGTCGAGTCAAAGCCAATGTAGGAGAACGGTTGAGAATATAAGCAGCTTTATGGATTACTTCCACCCAAAAGTTGTTTAGAAAACTTTTGGCTTTCAACATGTTTTTCTCATCTCTACAAGGTTGTGATTCTTCCATTCATTGACTTCATTTTATTATGCAGTGTAGCTGATTCACAAAATTGATCAAATTTTTTTGAGATATTCTCCACCACAATCCATTCTCAAAATTGTTATTGTCTGCTCATTTAATTTTTAATGAATGTTTTGAACTTCTTGAAAACATCAAGGGCTTCTAATCTTTCTTTAAAAAAATAAACCTACGCCATTTGACTATAATCATCTACAAAGACTAGAAAGTACATGTTATTGTTAAGAGAGTATGTCTTCATCGATCCGCAAATATCAACATAAATTAATTTTGCATGTTTTGAATCTCTTCTTGTTGATCCTTCAGGAAAAGAGTCATGATACAAACTATAAAATTCTCACATACTTCATCTACATCTTTAGTCACAAGCAAACCATCAACATAATCTTTTTCTGAAATTAAATTCAAATTTTTAAAACTCATGTGACCATATCTTTGAACAAAGCATCTCAAACCTCTTTTGTCTTTGTCATAGCAGCTATATGAGAAAAAATTGTATCATACACAGCTTGTTGGATGAAAAAACAAAGACTTAACATCTTTCTTTCGAAAATCTCTAACATTGTCGACTGCCTCTACATCTTCATTAATCTTAAAAGATAAACTAAGTTTTCATTTTAGTACTCCAGATATCATAGTTACTGCCTTAAAAAATCAAAATCGACGGTTGTACAATATTTACTACAGCGTGATTGTTGATCACCTAGAATTATCAACCTTACTATAATATCATATGTTAAAAATAAAGGCTGATGGAACAAAACAAAAATAGAATTGCTGGAAAATAAAGTCTATGAACATTTTTATCAAACACCTTGTATGCAGGAAAAGTGAACTGGAAAACTCGATTCAATTACCACCTTTAAATAGACAAATTTGTAACTATCAACCATAAAAAATTAATCAACTAACTTAATACGAACATCCAACAACCAACTAATTTTATACATTAACTCTAATATTTTTTTGATACTAATATTCAACTAATTAACTAGTACAGGTTAAAAATGGGGGTGTTAAAAGGAAAAGAAAGAATTTTGAGGGGACTAATTTCTTCTGGTTAGAGCATTAACAATGACTTAAAATTCCCACTTAAAACTTTTTAATTATAAAATAAATAATTTTATGTAAATTTGAGCGGTGAGCGGTGGCACTTCTGAAATAAGGAAACGCAGTAAAAGCATTAGAAAACGTGTCTAGTAGCGGAGGAAAGGAGTGTCATACGCATGGCTGCTGGCGTTTCTACCTTTTTCGTAAATAAACAATACGAAAACCGTATACAATTTCCCAGTCTTCCAGATCAACCCCACAAGAAGAAAGAATATATATCAATACACACACACACATATATATATATACAGCACTTCTGTCCCATTACTGTCTTCGTTTACTTCCCAAGAAAAGCAAGTTTTTAGGAAATGGGACAAGGCGAGGAAGAGAAGACCAGACCTGACCCTCAACTCGAAATTCAGGTCTCTCACTTTCTCTCTCTTTTTCTCTCTCTACATATATATATATATGCTGTCTTATTGTAGGTTCTGTTAACGGAGAGTAGTATGTTTGGGCATGGAAATTGCAGGAAAGAGGTGAAATATTCTTCTTCTACAGACCAAAAGTTGGTAAAGAAGAAGCCCACAGTCCGGGCGATGTGCAAAGACTTTATATTGTGTTGCGGCCGGAGTCCGGCGAACGGCCGGTTGAAGAAAAGCAAGACCCTCGTTCGGGGAAAGAGGGAGCAAAGAAAGAATCCACTGAGGACATGACTAGTGAATCTACTAATAACGAAACTGAAGGTGGCTATGGTTCTCAGGTAAGATTAACTAATTATGTGTGATCTTCTCTGTAATATCTATATATATATATATATTATGATTTATTTATATGTATACAAATAGGAAGTGAACATTGAGAAGGAGCCATTGCTGCGGTTGATTGTCATGGGACGTAAAGCTCTCCCAAATCCAAGCCAGAAATCCCAGCCATTCTGGGGATTTGTTGAAATGGTCACAACAAATATAGATGACTTGAAAGCTGCTCTTAAAGAAGGTACATATATACATATATATATATATAGAGAGAGAGAGAGAGAAATTGGAAGAGCCATATGGGCATTAACGAATTCATGTGTGGACGCAGAGGAATATGAGACTGCAACAAGAGGCCACCGCCATAAACCTGGTGCAAGAGCAATGGGAGAAGGCATATACCGCATACTAAAACACAATCCAGGCAGGAGGCCGCATACCCATCTCATTTACAAGCTTGAATTTCCAGCTGAAGACAAGAACAAGGAGCCTCAAGAGGCCCTTAACGTGGAGAAAGAAGGTTCATTCGTCCTCCAAATAAAGAACCCTGAGCAGGCTGCAGGAGGGAGTTCCCAGTTCAGAGGGCTTCAAAACAAGCGCAAGGCTGCTTTTCCTGCCCACCTGCAAGGTCTCTGCGGCCACCGGCGGTTTGTTCCGGCGGACCCACCGGACTTTTTGAACTATGAAGGGTGTGAGCTGTTGCTTATATCAGCTTCAGATGATATAGAGGAGGAACTAGGGTTGGAGCTGAAGACAGAAGTAGAAGAGGATGAGACAGAGTATCCCTCTTGCTCTGATTTGATACAGACTTTTGGGGAGGATGCTGCGCCTGTTACTCCTCTTCTTAAAGGAATCTGGGCATGAAATCTTCATCCCATTTCAGGAGCTTCTTGTTAGACTTTTTTTACAGGCTGGTATGGAACCCAAGACAACATTCTTACTCGATTTTTGATAAAAAGGGTGAGTTCAGAATCTGTTGCTTGGGTTTAATTAGTAATTAGGGTTTTTGGATTTTGTTGTTGGGATAGTATTTTGGTACCTTGGATGTGGCAGATGAAAACTTATATCCAGCACTGTGAAGTTAAGGGTTGAGCCCTTGTTTTGTAAAGATGGGATTCTACTGCTTACTGATCCCAAGTTTTCTAAAAATGCTAAATTTTAGTTTGCTAAGTGAAAATTACAATTTGTTTTTGATCTTTTTACTTGCAAATAATTTTCAATTTAACTAATATATTACAGTAGAGATAGGGGGTGTGTGCTTATTAATTCTGAAACTTACAAAAAAATGTAAAGCTCAGCACCAATCAAGAATCCCCAAGGAATTCCAAGTATTCTTGTTAGGTGAAGGACTTGGACTTATCATGGGGCTATCTACTCCAACTGGATGGCCAATGGTTGGAAATGGGTAGGAGGGAACTTCAACAAAAACCCCAGTCAGGAATTTAATTTTAACTAATCTTGGTTGGAATAAACCATTCAATAATTTCACGTAAAAGAATTTGATATCAGCAACTTCTACCATCTTATCTAATGATATTGGCAGTATATTCCTTTACTGGGTAAAGCAACTTGTATCTTCTTTTTCCTTCATTGCTGAAAAAGATCAGTCTCTGTAGTTATGCATTAGCAGACATTTAGGAGAAAATATATTCGAAGCATATATAGATAGATTACATTACAGTTTCTTGATGAGCAGAGGATGAAGGTATTATTGTTCTCCCATCATCCATAAACTCGGCAGCAAATTCCTCGTCATTTTTACCTAACATATCTTTTAAGCTACATGCTATGTTCCTGCCCTTTAGCACCCAAAATCTGGGCTTTATTTTTTTCTCTAATGAATAGCTAAAATATCTTGGATAATCTACAATGTCAGTTACTGGTTTCTCCATGGTGTTCACTAAGAATTCTAACTTCGGTTTTAATACCTCATCGATGCTGTATCCCAACAATGGAGAGAACCTTCGTACCATGAATGCTATATCCCTCTGTGATAGTCCTATCTCCATCAAGTAGTTTACCCTGATAAGCAAGGCGCCAAATTATGTAAGAAAATACAAGCATTATGCAGCAAGGAATTAGATGCAACTCCATAATATGATACTGTAGTATGGCAACCTTCTATCATTCAGGCACCCCAATGTAAATAGTCAAAAGTATATCAAATAAAAGAAACTTTTAGTTGTAATCAAATGGGGTAAAATAAGGCCTGCCATGTCATGTGCATTTTTTTCATTCATTTGAATTTCCAGAATACAAGGAATTGAGGGGCATACAAACATCACATAGTTTACTTCCAGAATCCAAATTGGAAGAATGGTGCTTAAAGAATATTGAAACTTTCCAAAAATCTAGACATTTTTCCTATAGTTATGACTAACCATCAAATCTTACGTGGTAGACTAATTATGTCCAGAAAACTTATGAAACCAATCAAGTGCTACCATGTTTTTATTTTAAACTGTCTGCACCACATTTTTATTTTTTCCAGAAAATATGAAAGAGGTAACTTGGTAGAGAAAATCATTACCGAGGAAGTAGTGTTCGTTCTACATCAGAGACAAGAAGCTCTGGATACTTTTTGATGACCCGAGGGAAATGGTCTCCATAAACACCAAAACCAGCAAGGAACTCTAGCTTTCTCTTCAAAGTTCTCTCAATACTAGTAGCAAATATCTCAGGACACCGGCAAAGTATCTCCCCCACAGTTCCTTGATTGAATCCTAGATCCTCCAGGAAGGTAACTATCTGTAAATAAAGGTGACAAGAATTAAGGAACACAAAACACAATTATACAGATGGAAGTATTAACTTCATGTTAAGATTCCCTTGATAATACTTCAATTACTAACATAAGTATTAAAAAAAACAAATAAGCATTAAGCTTCATTCAATACAACACTTGCAGGATCCAATCTGTTCTACATGGTAACCAAAAGACAAAACATAAAGCAGTTGGATCATTTTTCATCCGAAGGTTTCCTTGGTTCAACAAATCAACTAACTTCCACCTTCACTGGAAGGGAGCCTGTATGGTCCCTAAAATAGGATCTACTATGGATGTGCTGACTACAAATTCCAGTAAACTTTTCCAGTATTTGCTAGACTTTCTTCCTTTATTTCCTATGTTTAATAGAG